ACAAGGCGTACTACGCAGGTTTCTCAGCTAGCCGCCCTAGCTCTCGCACGGTGTCGCGATATTTCGGGGGAGATTCGGAAGGAAGCAGGGAGGTCGACAAGTTTTTTTTTTCCAATTTTGAACACGAGATTACATACGCAGCAGATATTATATCGAAACAGATATAATGTAAATATTATAAATTCGATGACAGAGTCGTTCAACGTTCGGCGAGAGACTATCTGCTGCTCTTCCGGTCGCAAAGTTCGATACGTGATTATACACGGTTCTTTTTTAATTTAACATCGTGCAAGAATTATACCGCACGCTCGAGCTCTGGTGTGTGCATAATTCGTTGTCTCGATCACATTTGATTTTCAAACAGCTTCTAGAAAAAAAAAACGGACAGTACAACTGATTTTACAATGACACGTTCACGTTTATCAAAGTCTAACGTTATTTGATGGCAATAATTTTATTCGATCGAACAAAAGAACCGAAGGTATTTAATGTCGGTACATAACGCAACAACATAAGAATGAAATGTGAGGATGAAGTGCAAAGGTAAGGTACCTTTTTACTTCGGAAATCGTGATTGTTCCGGGAGTACCGTGTCACCGTGCAAGAACTATTGAGAAACGTTCAACAGCGGATCATCTAATAGCGTTTTCATTTAGCTTTGGACAGTCGCATGTTTCTTTGTCGATCGTTCTTACGGCTTTCGATCCTTGAAACCGGAAACGGAAATTGTAAATCTCCGAGAGAAGATAATTTTAGACGGTTTCGTTCTGTCGTGTTTATTTAGCGCGATACTTAACGAGCGAGATGGATAGCCGAGAGATATAGATGTGCGGTACGCGGAAAAATTTCGTCCAAGCCTCAAGTCCCGCTTGCGAAGATTAAATATATATTTAAAAGAAAAAACCGAGTACGATACGCTGTACCAAGCGTTTTTACCGAGCGCGATGTAGAAACAATTCTCCCGTCCAGCGTATACTTTCGCGGCGTCTTTCAACAGAACGATTGATATGTGGAATTTGAAGTACCCGTTCACGATCCGTTCCTTTTCCTCGCGACGTCCCGTTCCGCGCGCTCTGCTATGGATCTGTGGATCGCAGCTAAATCGACGCACCTCAATCAGCCCCGCACGACAATCGCATCTAACGCTCTGGCAATCCGGTGCACGTTTCCCCGGTTAATTTCATGCAACGAATGCAGACCTGCGTTTTTCTTCTTCTCTCTTTCCCCCCCCCCCTCCCCCCCGTATCCCGGGCCTCCTACTGTCGATTCACCGCCGGTACTACATGCGTCCATTTCCGATTTCCGGATCTGTCCCTCCTCCCTATCTGATCCAATATATATTCCGCTGTTCACGCGCGACCTGACTCTCAATACAAAAACTATTCACCTCTTTTTTTTTTGTTTTTATTTAATAAGTGTCTCACTCTTGTCTGTTAGCGTTTACGGAGTAAGGTTCACACGCGTCAAGTAGTCACACGATCTCTCTCTCTCTTTCTCTCTATTTAATCCTAAAGAGTTGTTCTCCCCCCCCCCGTCTGTTTGTAATGCGCTATGGAGATGCGTATCTCCTTACGTACATATTACGTACGGTATTATGTACACGTAATATCTTGTGTATGTGTATGTGAGTCGAGTACTAACACAGCACTTCCTTGCCGCAGTTTCTTTATCTTTTTTTTTTTCATCGTTTTATCGACATAAGTAGACAGTGGCTAAATAGTGTCTATCAGTTTAGCAGTGGTAGTAAGAGAACAGCTTCTTCCTTTGTTTTTTTTTGTATGATCACTTCATTCTTTCCCTCGCACTCGTCTCGGAGCACAGTAACAATGTTTTATATATACATATATACATATATATACATACACATATATATGTATATATTTTTATATTTATATTTATTTATAGTATTTATATTAATGCGTACCTGTTAGGCCCGAACCGGCAGATTAATCCTAGACCGTTCGTACAGATTAAACTATAAAAACGTCGATTATGCGGTCTACGACTACTCTACCATTGGAATGTTTTGACCTCTCGTACGCACTCTCTCTCTCCTTGCACTCTCGCAGCTATTATATAGTATATATACATACATATACATATATATATGTATATAAGGATGAGACGTATGCTTTTGAAGATGTGTAAATAATGACAGAAAACTATGTCTCTCTTACATGAAAAATAGGTATTTTTTTCTTTTTCATTTTCTCTCTCTCGTTCTCTCTTTCTCTCTCTCTCTCCCTCTCGCATGCATGTGTAAGTGTTCATGTTTACATATGTATATGTATGAAACGCGCGCGCCTAGACTCTTATGTGAAGATTATATGTACATATATTCGCGATAACGTGTATACGCGTCAACTAGAAAAAACGATCGGCTCACTCCTTTCACTCGTGCGCCCGCTAAATGGAGTCTCGTCATCATACAAGTAAAAATAACATTCGGGCGTTATTTTTAATAGAGGATGACCGATTTACTTCTTCACGCGGAAGGGAGCACCGCGAATCTCAAGTCTGAGAGAAAACAGAAGCGAACGGCTGCGTTCGATCGCGTGCTGGTTACTAATGTCGAAAGGACATTTCTTTAATCCTAAAGAGCACAGCGCGGGCTAATATACTCTATTTAAAAAAAAAATTGATTGAACTTCATAAAATTCAAAGTAAATAGAGGAGTGAATTTGACAAATACTTGCTCTGTCATAAGTTTATAGAAATTTTGGGACACACTTGTGCCGCGAAGTGATGCTACAGCTTGCGCTCTTCGGGATTAAGAATTAAAGGAGCACGTTAGGATCTACAGTCGTCAACTAAATAGTACACTACAAGTATCATTCGAAAACTTCTTTACGCCGAATCACCTTTCTGCTAGGAGGTATTTGAAATGAAGTATTCTGTTTGATTCCGATTAGCGTCTATAAAATACGCAAAGCGAGATCGATCGGTATGGTTCAGTTGGCCTCGAAGATATTGGTATTTATAAAACGTTGTTTAAACGGAATACACAATAGATCAAGCTCCGGGGGGATTATGATGTATAAACTGCTTGTAAGTATCGGTTTAGTCGGTGTCAAACCATTTCGCACGTAGAGCTGAACATTACAGGGTTATCTTGCAACACGATATTTAACCACTATGCATAATACTTCATACATATGTATATCTGTATCTTTTTTTTTTCGGTAATTTATTTAGTCGCCTAATTATGCGGTAGTGGTGTAGTAATCATTGTAAGTAATAATCGTAACAATAATAATAATTTATTACATAGTATTTCTAGCTTCTTTTATAGTACATCGCGTTTTATCTTGGTTTCCCCTCATAAAAAGATACTTTTACTCGCGTTACGCTTAATATTCATTCATTGACATGTAACCACAGCGGCCCGAAGGACTCTCAACAATTAAACACAGCCTTCGGGCCCTCGGTAGCATTTGTAGAACCGGTTAATCCGCACAATCGCGTCTCAGACCCTCTCTCTTTTTCTGGATTCGTCCGCGGATTCTCAAACGCGCGACCGTAATTGCCCTCTTACCGATCATATTTCTGCACCAGGACGGTCTATCGAATGTATCCGACATTGAGTCGCAACATGTAATCTCCACTCGGCTTTACTGTCCTTACAGTAACTGTCGAAGTGAACGGAAACGTAGCAAAATAAGGGAGGATCTAGCAGACAAGCGAGGTTACGGAACGCAAACTTATTTCGCGTCTGAAATCAGAAAAAGAGCCCTCACCGGTAAGACATTTTTAGCTCATCCTACGTGAACCTTCTCCTCTTCGTTCTTCTATTTCTTTCCCCCGCACGGAGTATTACACATTATTCGTTTCACTTAATTACGCCGCTCTAATGCAGTACAAAGCTAAAGATAAATCGCGTCAAACTTAATCGGAATACTCTGGTCTTACGACGTACGATTTCTCTATGTTAGTTGTTGCCTTAAAAAAAAGAGCCTTCTAATTTTTCACGTAGATTATACTGTTTTTTTTTCTTCTTTCCCTAAGGTGCGAAACGTCAACTTGCAAAATCACAGAGAATTACGCATCGTTACACTGTTACTTAGGATTATACCTAGTGTTTTTCCCCACGATATGGGCTACATATTCTCTATAAACTTCTAGGCCTGCTCTTCGTCGTCTTTGAGATCTTCATTCGTCGCTGCGTCCATCCATCTTTAATATTGCATCCGATGCGACGCGGCGATTATTCTCAATGAAGAGACACGGCGTGAAATGTTGGCTCCATGTTCTCCAACCGAGATACAGACGTTTCCTCTTTGTTCCACACCTTGCGCTCTTAAAAGATTAAAACTTCGCGATTGTATAGAGTGCTTCGTCATCGTTTTCTAAATAAAAGAAGTCGAACCAAGTTTGAAAGATAAAGGGGTCTAAAATGTAAAAGTTTGTTTTCCTTTATTCTTCAAACTTTTCCCTCCCCATCACGGAATTATTCTGCGACATATGTTTCGTAGAGATTTTATATTAATTATCATTAATAGTATTTCAGCGTAGTATTTATCGCAATATTTTGTTTGTTCGCGGATGTATCTGTATCACAGTTGGAGCATAGGACTTTGAGTTTGGCGGTTTTGCGGTCCTGGACGAAAATGCCGTCAGATAAATATAAGAAGGCGCTATAAATCGATTGCTAAAGGACTACTGGCATGGCCGATATCTATGTATAGACCGCTGCTATAGGATCGCCCTAGCACCGGGCACAAAACCACCAGCTGTCCCATTGATAAGAGCAGTTTTATCGTTCTTCCAACATGGAGCCGTTAGTATCTCTGCATATGCTAGTAAAACGAGTGTCGTCATTGATACGAATCCTTGTGGAAAGTGTCGCTCTTGTGAAACATCCTCCGCCCTTCTCTCGTAAGTTCTTGACTCGCGAAATTGTTCTCAGACTTTGGTCTGGGCAGGAGGCAACCCGGCAGCGTTCTGAGCTCCATACTGTGTACCTGAAATGACAGATTTTACAACATGATACACTCGCGCGTCCATTAATTTTTTAAAAGAAACCACAGGAATACGTTATCAATCAGCAGAGCTAATGACACACGATACTGTTTTTCCTACTGGATTGCTTACGAGAGCCAATCAGGATTTAGCCTTAAATCACCTATTTAAGGCTAAATCCTGATTGGCTCTCGTAAAGGCCTATGTTTACGTTCCTTGGTCCAAGTTCTAGCTGCAATCTGGGCAATCCAGCAGGAAAAATAGTACCGTGTGCCGTTGACTTAACTATAAAAATATAAGATTGTATTTCCTGTTTTTTTTTATAACAAAAGAAGTGCCGTAAAGATACGTGTATCGTAGCTTAATTATAGCAGATAACGTCGCGTACTTACCGATTCCTCACTGGCACTGGCATGGGCAGCCTGCTCCGCGAGCGCATTTACTACGGCGTTTATCGTTTTTGATTCGCTGCCAAGATCCTCCTCGCGATGAGCCACCAGATTAGGATTCTTCCCGATTTTGTTTAGCCTACAAGGAGAGCATGATTAAGCGTAGGGAATGTCGCACGCGACGTAACCGACTACTATTCACATTAAGTTCTACACCACTTAGCAGCACAGTGATTCGTCCGTTTCGTGGCGCTTTATAACACCCGCCGCTTATCATCTGTACTCAACAGCGATTATTATTTGTCTCGATACTACTTGCACTGCTAAAGGTAGTTGAATGAGATAAACTGATAAAAGAAATCAGTTATCTTTGCCACACTGGCCGCGGAATTTCGTGTCTCGAATAGAAAATATGCGGAAAACACAAGATAAATAATAAAACAGCGTATCTCGGTATATCGATTTTCGTTCGAGTACTTTGTTTCTCGTCGTGAATACTTTTGCGGAAATCTTGCAACGTTAAGAAAACAATTTGCAACGTACAGTCCTTTGCATAGACGAGTTTACATCGGAATCGTTCTGCGCGGACGTGTGACAAAAATGGTACTTAAAATAATTTATAAAATATGTTATGCCAAATTATAAATAGAACATTATTATGTAATGAATGTGTCGAGAGTGTAAACTTTTGTCACGGCATTAAACTGCAATTGTTATTTATTCAATCGGGTAATATCCGGTTTCATGAAGTGTGCACCACTACATGACTCGGATATTTTCCCTCTCACGCATACGAATGCAAAACGAATTGCCCGTCATATCTTTGCGTGAAAGATACTTGGAACGGATTTAACCCTCTCAACTCATTATAAATATCGTAAGTTAGTGCGCTTTCATCACGAATTTTCATCTGAAAAATTCTTCCCAACTCTCCAACTGTCTCGCTCAAGAGCCCCAAGAAAGTCAATGGGCGACTCGAATAGGTCGCATTTCATTTTTGTCCCTTTGGCAAAATTTTCACTGACGTATGTGCGTGTACGTGTGTGTAAAACAAGCGTTCGAGTTTCTAACAAACACATACGAGAATCGGTAATGTTGAGGCGAGAGCGACATGATTTCCACAGGCAGCAAATGACTGATCTCCGTTTTGCCGGACAGTACGAAATGCTCAAATAAAGTAGATGGGAGTGGGAGTGATGATTGACATCTATTAGCACACCAACTCGATAGAACAAACCTAACCAAAGCTTATACCTCTCGGCGGCAACGCTCTCCATCGTTCTGCGCATTAGGGGATACTGATCCAGCACGGCGTTGAAATGGTCCACCGAGAGGCTGAAGAGATTGCAGTAGGTCTCCGCTCGGACCGACGCCACCCTCCTCGCGTTCGTCAGCAGGCAGATTTCGCCGAAGTAAGACCCGTCCGATAACGAGGTCGCCACTTCGCCGTTTGCCATCACGATATCGACTATGCCTTCTTGTATGAAGTACATTTTCGAGCCGATTGTACCCTCCTTAATGATGATATCACCTGCGAGTACACGTTCGAATATCACGCTCCTGAGCGAGAAAGTACTTTCCCCGTGCCGCGACACTCAACCTCTTGTTCATTTAGCGCGGATAGCAAAGGCGTTCATGACTATCGATATACCTGGCTGGAAGACTTCGTATCTGAGTTTCGTCACGACGTCCGAGACGAAATTCGAATCGGCGTTAGCGAAGAAGGGCACGGACGCCACCAGCGATCTGCAGTTGTAGTTTATCACATCCTGAAATCAGGTACAACATTTGTACAGACACCTGTATTTTCTTTAGGGTAAATTTCGGTCAATTGTCCCGATGGGTTTTAGAGATCGATACTATGTTGACTTAATATCGTCGATTCGAAAGAACGAGCGATCTCTCGCATTTTCAATCCCACAGTTTTTTTCTCCAGAAATATTGCACATGTCACTTTTAGTCTTGACCAAGTGAAATATTTCACACGGGTCCTAACGTACTTCTCTCAATTTTTCCGAGAGCTCTCCAAGGATCAGCTCCTCGTCGAAGAACTTCCCTTGGTACCGGTGTTCGAAGTACTCCGTGATCCTCTGTCTCATTTCTCTCGGTAGTTTCCGATAGGCCATGTATTCCTCTACTTGTTTCACCTACGGGCAAGTCGGACGGGAAGTTTAGTCGCGGCGAAGTTACCCACGCGCGTGTTCCATCGTTATATGACGTGCTTATCTACCTTCTCGCGGTATTGTCTTCTCGAGGAATCGAGAGATTGAATGAGATTCGTCGCGTGTCCGAGGAAAAGAGCGTAACACGTCGCACCGCTGATCATGCTGAGCATGGTGAGCCACATGTCGGTCAAGGACTGCGGCGGAAACCTACCGTACCCGATACACAGCATGTGCGACATGGCTTTGAAGAGAGCCCACGAGTATTGTTCCAGCCAAAACGAGTCCTGCAAGTAGGCGTCACGTCGTAACACGGAAATGCATTTTGCAAGTCGATCGCCAATTTCGACACAAAGCGCGGAGGGCGTTTTCGCGGAGCGCACACCGCCCGATCTCGCTCCTTGAAAATTCACGACATTGCCAAATCGCCAAAGAACTTTCGCGTGTCGCAGAGTTTATTACTTAGCTTTGTATGCGGTTGAAAAGAAACACACTTATTTCTATGCAATGTTAAGTAATGGTAGACTTAGAAGAGAAATTAATCGTAAGATGGTAATAAAAGTAAATTGAAGGAATATTTTAGGGGAGCTGGTTTTTTTAGAGGAGCCGATATTAAATCGATCGATTATTTTCCACGCAATGCTAAAATATATCAATTTAAGGCAGGATACCACCTTTGACTGCGATTTTGGAGGCGTTTTTCATGATTTTTTTTTGCATACAAAGAGTGCCCAGAAACAAAATCGGTTTTAGTCATTCATTAATGTAACTTTAATCTGTAATTACAAACTGAAAAAGTTACAAATAATCTCTTGTAGGTGGCGCCAAAATACATTCCTTTGGAGGAACACCGTTAGACGGCGTGTCAAATTCCGCTCTGTACGTGGCTCCTAGAAAAAAAACCAAAGAATGTTCCTATTAACAACAATATTTTTTAATGCTGTACGTAGGGATTTTACGAAATTTCGATTTTTAAGCAAATGGCGGTCATTTTGACAAAAAGGTCAATTTTTTAGGGTAAACCTTTTTGTTAAAATGACCGCTATTTTCTTAAAAATCGAAATTTCGTAAAATCCCTACGTACAGCATTAAAAAATATTGTTGTTAATAGGAACATTCTTTGGTTTTTTTCTAGGAGCCACGTACAGAGCGGAATTTGACACGCCGTCTAACGGTGTTCCTCCAAAGGAATGTATTTTGGCGCCACCTACAAGAGATTATTTTTGAAACTTTTTCAGTTTGTAATTGCAGATTAAAGTTACATTAATAAATGACTAAAACCGATTTTGTTTCTGCGCACTCTTTGTATGCAAAAAAAAACTCATGAAAAACGCCTCCAAAATCGCAGTCAAAGGTGGTATCCTGCCTTAATGTTTGTTAGAATCGTGAAGCGCGCAATGTACTCAGATGAGAGTGTTGATTACTCACTTGTAACTCGTTAATGGCCACCCATGAATTACTGGGAAATCCTTGAAGCATGGGGACCAGGAATTGCAGGCAGCCACTCCAATGGCCGATTAGGAGCATCATACAGATCAGGTTAAAAATCCGCATGAACACCGACGCCATATTCAGGAACTGCCAACAACAACGTTAGAGCTTTACTCTCGTGCCGGGTCGGGCGCGTCGGAATGTTTTCTCACACGTTTTGGTTAAAACTTCTCTTGTTTATCCAAAGCTCCGGTTGCGTAGTGTACAGCAAGTAAGCGAGTGTTGCACAAAAACGCGGTAGATATATAATTCGTCGAGCACAATTGTTCCATTACTGTTTTTGTTGCTCAGATTTAGGAATACTGAATAAACTACGTGACGGAATCCGTCACTAAGATCCGATCGTCCATCGATAGTCTTTTTTTTTTCAACGAGCACAAATTCTTTGAGGAACGAAGTTTACATTTAACCCTTTAACCAGTCCTGCGTCTATAAAATAGCAAATTTTGGGAAGCTCGTTCAAAATCGAGATTCAAGGTGTTTGCGATAAATCTCAAAGGTTAACTGGCTTTTGCTGTTCAATCGGATCAAATGATTAGGATTTTTATCATGGACAAATTAAAGCAAGGGTCCATCCTCGCGCATTCAGATCTTAGCGCGGATATAGTTCAGTTCGAGTGAGAGTGTCACACTTTTCCTAGGTTGTCATCGCCGTTCTCATACTCTCGGAACTTTTTTTTTTTCGTCCGTTAAGAAAAGCATGCTACATTAGAAAATACGCATCACGTGGCACACAAAAGAACAATTCAATGTAACCTAAAACGTTGATAAATAACTGGTTACTCTACGAATGCTCTAACAAAAAAATATCAATCATTTGCAACTGGTTGGGCCAAGATTCTCAAACCGCTTATGCGCCAAATGTTCATGATGTGACGTACGTGAAAAGGGAGAAAAGAAAGGCAAAATCGACGCTCAGTCAATGACGTCGATGTAGTCCGTTCGGTTCCAAACACAAATTATTCGGCTCCATCGTGCGCAATAAGTACGATATGGGAATCCGTCCGTATTAAAATAAAAAGCTGGAGAACACGCGGAGAACGTGCCGACATGGCTAATTCGCCGAGTTAACCCTTCGAGATTCCGATCCGTATCTTATTTCAATGATTATTCCTCATGCGGAGAGCCGCATCTTCTTCTCAATAACTAACACGCACGATTGGTCCTTTGTCTCCTGGTTAACGTTACGCGTTGAAATATTAACTGTACACAACACGCGGTTATTGTAATACAGTCGTTTGTTAACGTAACAAACGACAGTGGGCCAGTATTTTCAAGCTCAAATACATTTTATAATTTAATAATTATTGATATACGAAATCGTGAGTGTTTACAAGAGATATCTACGTATAATTAGAAATTTCTACATGGCAGATTAATTTTGTAAGAAACAAAGTGAATGAGGATCGACAAAGGACGACCGAAAAAATTACTCGAAGGATTAAAGTCGAATAGTCTCAGCGTCCTCCTGTTAGTCGAGAGATAAGGATAGAGTTATCTAAGGATCATTGAAGGTATCATGAAGTGCGACTCATGTTCATGGATATGTACATAACGTATGTACATATGTGGCGATGACATATATATCTGCTTCCGCACTCGTATGCGTGCGGCAGTCGCAACGAAACGCGACACGCGCGCTGCAATAATGAGTGTGTCATGCACCGTATTCGGCCTCCGTGTTCGAGAGATTCCGTTCGGTTGCTCTGCCGACGGGGCGCAAATGAATTTCCAATACGGCGCCGTCGACGGGGCGTGTGCGAAGAAAATTCTCTCGAATCCGGCCCCGTTATATGCGGCGACGAACTGAAGTTTCCGAACTTAAACACGCTTGCCCAAATACCCAGCAAGTAGTTGAAACCTTCGAGCCTTCTCTTTTTATCGCCCATCGTATCTATCATCCTCGATACACTTTCGTGCTCTCGCAACTTACGGAAGTTTGATACTCTCGCGAGGAAAGTTCGCGCGGAAGACTCGCCTCGCGTTGTCGGGCGAAAAATTTTTGCCGGCAATTTACTAATAAATCTAAGCGACTGCAAAGCGAGGAGCAGGCGAAGCTGTTTACGAGGTCCTTGTCGAGTCTTGGGCAATCGCGGTATAATGATCTTGAAATCGTACGGCAGTGGGACCTGTCCCCTGTATAACAGTTAGGTAATTACTCTTGCACTTAAACCGCAGAAGTGACAGAGCCATTGCAGTGCCGACAGTAATGACATAATGACGTACAATAAGCTCAAACACATGTGGTCATCACGTTGAAGATAGCTTAGTTCCATGCGTTTTCAAAAAATTCCGTATATTCTCTTTATCTCGTCGCGACAAAAATTGCTGCGATAAACGTCCGTAGAGCTTGTAGACAAAGAATAATTCGAGTAACGTCATTTATATGCCGGTCTCGCAGTTGATCCCAGATGTTATAATCGGAAATTTTTTTCTGTAAACGTGAAATTCAGTCGGCTGTATCCAAGCTGGCTCGCGCACAGCTTTGTCACTTGTGCGGTTACGCCGGAAACCTGGTCGTAATAGAGTCGCAATTTACAGTAATCGTAGACATGGCCGTTAACAGATTGCAACAATGTAAAAGATGCGACGAGAGATGCATCGTTGCCCAATCGCCGTAGGATTTCGATGAAGCGCGGGAGCTCTGGTTATCTAAATGCGGTAAAATATTAGGGATACTGGCTGGAGAGTATCTATCGGGTGTCATGATACTCCATGGATGATGATCAATGGTAACTGTTTCTGCGCCTACGGGAAACAAGTAAGAACATGGGAGACTTACGGGCTAGACCACATATAGCTCAATACATTACCTGGTCTACAAGTAAAAAGATCGTGTACACGTGAGACAACACGGTACACGCGCGCACGCATACGCATATCGTCGCCGTCGTGATGAGCGACGCGACGTATACGTTGCGTGGCGCGCGGCTTCGTAAATCAAGAAAAGAATAAAAAGAAGGAAGAAAAGAAGAAAGAAGGAAACACAGGTTAAACGATACACTGTAACTCAACATCAACCTTCTCTTCTACGAGACAGCCACAGGACCAGTAAAGATGAAAGCTTGATTCTGTTTATGTCTCCACGATATGATGGATGAACGATCAATGAGTCAGCGCACTAATTAACGGATTACGATTGTAAGTGGCAACAACAAACGCTCTAAAACGACACCGGAACATAAGTGAGTACTGCAAACTAAAGGCACAACAGAGAAACAACCGAGACGAGGTACGGGGGGGTTTACGGAAGAGAGATGTTTATCGTGGGGGTGGTGGTGAGAGTTCCTCGCACTTCGGCCGAGACGAATTCGAGTGATTATGAGCGTAATATGAGGGACGACGAACAAAACGCAGCTGCCAAATCAAACGTCGCGTTATCAAGCCTCGCGCAAGCCAAGCCACGAAGCGAGAGGACGAAGTATCTTCGCTCTTCCATCGTGTCTTCGTTTCTCTTATATTTTTTTTCCCCCCTCGAATTTGCAAGCACACAGATAGCCAGCTGTTTTACACAGATAGAGGTGCACAGATCTCTCGGCCGAGAAGCAGCGGACACAGCTGGGGAACGGGCAGCGACAGAGCCGGTGGGTAAGACGCGCGCGCGGCTGGCGAGGGTGGATTACACAGGGTGAAAGTCGTTTGCAGAGCAGCGGCAGGGGAGGATAAGCGAGCTCTCTACTCTCATACGCATTGCATCCTAATTTGTTACCCCGTTAACGCTCGCGCGTGTCGTCTGTGTGTATCTATTTCCCTCCTGCACTTTTACATCTAAGGTAGCGATGCACCTCGGTCACATAGTTGATATACAGTGTGCGTTTTGCAACAAAGCGACAGAGAAGGGACGCCCAATCACGTGCGCTCGTTTTCACAGGATCGTGCACACCGTCTAGCGATCAAAAGCGTTTCACAAGATAGTGCGTGGAAACAGGCGGTTTGCGGTCGTCCATCGGGTCACAGGATGCGGGAGGACCGGAGGTGGAGAGGACATGGGAGACGGTACAGCAAACAGTCAAATAGTAAACGAGAGGAAGTTAGAATGAGAAGACAGAGAGAAAGAGAGAGATACAATATATATATAGAGACGGAGAGAGGAAGGGTTTAATATACGAATGCACGATTTCAGTCGGACGCGCCACGCCGGACTTTTGACAACCGATCCCCGATTCGTTCACTTTCACGTCGAATATCGCGCTGCCGGTCATCGGCAATCTCTACCATCCGCGGGGTGACGCCGGGCTGGCGCAAAAGGGTGATTCACCCGAGCCGGGCGTTCTCTTTATCATATCTACGTTCGTGGGCCTCTAGATTGTTATATGTTCACACACACATATAGTTGTGTACATGTACTTTCTCATCGCTAGGCGGGTGCCGATGGTGAATGTATAGAAGCATAGCCTATTGCTGCGGGTATATGTAATGCGGCGGAAAAAGTAAAAGCTGAATGTTTGTAATAAACCAACGAGCCAATCAGCGTACAGCTCCTCCGTCCAATTGACCTCGTCAGCCCCGCTCCCGGTCCTCGCGAGACACCGACAGAACGCGGCGGTCGATCGGTTCAATCAACAATCGGCCCGTCCGACCCTTCCCGCGCGATGCTACAAATTCATGCTCTTCGTTACCCTCGACGGGGCGATGAGCGAATGACTTAATTGATTATCATCGGAGATCACGTGTAACTAGCTCGGCGAAAATATTGTGGGAGCTACACATTTTTTAAGTACTTCTCGCTAATATTTCCCGCTGCGCTCGCGACACTCCGCGAAGCCGTTCTTTATATTAATTATACTTTTATTTATATTCAAACGCTCGTCGAGAAATGATCTAACGCGAATGGAAGCCTTTACTGGACGGAGACCTCGTTCGATAATCATGTTCGTTGATTAAGCGCGTAGGGAGAAGGTCGAGTTCCTTCTGTCGAGTCTCGCGGAAAACCGGATGGGAAATCGCCGAGGCTGATTCGTGGTGCGAATCGCGTGGACGTGAGCTCGCGCGTTCGCCAGGGCGGGTTACCTTAAAAATAAGTTCGCTTTTGCTGAAACCGGACTTCTTTTTAGTCATATTGTCAGAACTTAGGCGCCCCCTCCGCTCAGTGCGTTTTTTTTGTAGGTTCTGCAATATCTAGAAACAAAAGAAAGCGGGACATAGCCAGACATAGTAAGAAGAGGTTAATAGAAATTCTGCAGTGGTTAATAGAGATTTCACAGAGAGGAGGTAGAAATAGTGTCAGAAAGTGTGTGAGAGAAAGAACGGGAAACTGAGACTAGAAAGTAACAGAGTGAGGAGGACACGAGGGGGAGGAGAAACGTCGGTATAGTTAGAACAGTAGGCGGTTATATATATGTATATATATATATTAATCGACAGTTTGCAAGATGGTAATGGTGGCGAAAAGTAAGGCGGGAGCGGTACGGGAGATTGTAGGGCGGTTGCAGGATCGATTTTCTTTTTCTCGTCTCTCGTGGGGATCAGAAATTTCCGTGTGCGGTAACAGTGGCCACGTTACACAACGAACGCTGAAAGGCAATCCCCAATCCCTAAAGTCTCGTCCTTTCGCTATGCGGGGGGGTACACTCGGATCGCGACGTCCGCCAGCGGATGCGCAAAGGTAGTAATCGATGTCACTGTACATTCTTAACGGTGACACCCATTGAATCGGGTCGTACGCACGGCCACGTGCGGATCACGTTAGTTTATCCATTTAACGGCGAGATAAATTGAGGAAAAAAAAAAGTAGAGACAGACGATATATAGATATATACATTTACATAGATATAAGGTGTTAGTACCTCTCATTTTCCATCTTCCCTCCTGAACGCTAGTACTGGCACATACACAAGCACATAAACAGAGTAAGTAATTACACCATGTGTATCGGTATATCGGTGTCGGTTTCTCGCCTCGGCGGCGAGTGTCGGCCGCCGTAATGTGGATACCAAAACGACCGATCGATCGTACGATCGATCGGTTGGATGTTGAGAGACCGGTAAAGTGTGATTGGGGACGCGAGTAAAAGAACGATTTTCGGTGATGTGAGCGAGCGTGTGCACGCGAAAGTATAATCGGCATGGGCACGGCACGATAACGAAAAGTAACAGTCCGATGATCCGTGAATTAGATAATAATTAGTAATCAACAAGCCATTCGTTGGTATCAAAGCTATCGAATTAGCAGTCGCGCGCCAAGCGTGAAGCCGCAGTTCCTTTTCAAGCTCGGATGAAGCTCGATGAGTTAATTAGCGGATCTGTATATAGTATATGTAGTATCGTGGTGGATTTACAGATTGAGTAAAAAAAAAAATCGCGGCGATTAACTTGCAAAGCCGTGTTACTTGATCCCGGCCGGGTCTGTAGGTCCAGTGAAATAATTCAGCACGCGAACGTAATTGACTTCGCGACACTGTCGATATTATCTTCCATGCAAATTCGCCGGCGTTGTCTCGATTTCAAGTAGCGAAATTTTAATTCAAATACACGTCGAAAAGAATTTGGACACTTTTTCCACATGGGAGAGGCTGCTCATTTCGTCTTGAACAAACGACTTTTACTAATTTGATTGAAATCGAATTCAACACTAATCGAAGAAAGGCTAAAAAAGTAGAAGAAAAGTGCACATTAATTTACAGGAAGGAACAAAAATTACTTCAAGTGTTGCTGATATATAAACATTGCTTTAGCCTTGATTTATGAAATTCATATTGATGAAAAAGAGAGAAAGAGAGAGAGAGAGTGAGAGAGAAAAAGAGAGAGAGAGTGAGAGAAAGAGAAAGAGAGAGAGAGAGAAATCTGCAAATGTGATAACTGTGAAATATAAAAATTCTGCTCTTCTCGGGACAATATGTGCGCATCGCTGCTCTGCTGAAAGAAACAGTCTGTAACGAGATAAACATTTACAAAGGAGAACGCTCCCATCTTTCTGAAAAATTCCATGCAAAAGTCACACGAAAAGGCAAGAAGAAACTTGAGAATTATCAGAGTTTTCCGTTGAAAGATCACCGTTCGAGGTGAGGGAATACCGTAACTGGTCGATAAGATTATTAAGTACACAGACAACACAGGACAAGAATACGTTCGTCAATCGCGAATCTCACGACATTATCTTGTCGCGTTTTTTTTTTGACATCTTACGCATACATCTCTGTAATTGCGCGCGACAAGAAACGCGCGATTTGCTAACCAAGTGTGCGCCGCGAAAATCACGCGGACGTACAATCGCGCGTTTCTGCATGACGGTTATGATTTATCGTCTCTTAATGTGCGTACACACGCGAGTACGTTTTAATTTGCCACTGCTGAATGCAACCAGCCCCGACTATTATCGCGGCGGTTTGCTACTGTGCGGCTGTTAACTCTAATGTGCGTGCTCACAAAGGCACTCGTGTTTGTTATCTGATTTAATTACGATGTAAAGGGAAACTGGGTGTACGTGCCACGGGCAGAAAGCTTTTGCACTCGTTACAAAGGGCACTGCGTTTTGCCATTTCTTTTTTAATTAATTAATTAATTAATTAATAAGAGCAAGGGGACTTTTCAACGCGTTGTTGACTCGTTTTAAGATCGGCGATATACGCACGTTTACGCAAGAATTGCTTGTCTGAAATATTAGGTGACATAATCGACAAGTCACATTTTAATCACATAACGAAAAGTTAAATAAATAAGGCAGAAAATTTGCGGTGAATCTATCGTCTGTTGTCTTTTTTAACCTTCTTTTATCGATTTGTGTACACGATTTTCTATCTTTATGCGTTATCCATTTATTCTTTTCGCATAAAGCGTTAAAAGTTTTTAAATTAGTAGCGAGATTAATAATGAGAAACTAAAAATCGGAGACTTTTAAAATTGAATTCAAACTTCGGGCAATGTCAATATGAAACTCTTTCATCCCTTTCTCTTTATATCTTATTATTTCAAGATAGATGGCGAGCTTTATTAAACCAGGGCAGTCACGACTTGAATCCCTTAGAGTGACGTTCATCAATAACATTCATTTAAGTCTGTCAATTCCAATTCTGTGACAAATTTCGTTCGGACAATACGAAAAGTATTGTGCGGCGAAAGGAGAATAGTAGAAAAAAATAATAATTCTCTCTTTCAGATCTAGTCTGTTAATTAATCGACTGTTCTCTCCTTATTTCCTGTCTCTCTTGACGGGAAACGAAAATGCACGCATGAATGACAGTACATTATGACGTATGTACATTTACACGTACACACGCACGCACACATACACATACACACGCATACACACACGTACATACACATGTATAAAATGTCCAGAAAATGTAACGCTGTGCTTTCTAGGAATCAACACGTAAGAAGCATCTCTCTCGTGGAAAATTTTCCTCTCGTTGCACAATTGAGCCAAGACGAGACTGCGTCATTGGCGATTCGCCGTGCGATCGCGCAGAGGAGCAGCAATTCTCAGGACAAGAGCGGAGACGCGAAAGACGCACGCGAAAGAGAGGAAACGTCACATCCGCTACGTGTATACCGGGCGGCGAGATGGTTAAAAGATCGCACGCTTTGCTTCACGTACTTCTCTCGCTCCTGTCATACCGTGGGGGGAGGGGCAGGGCGGATATCTACCGTCTACGGCGGAAAAAGAATGCCGCGCTGGAAAATATCGCCGGTAATATTATAATATTATAAACGTGCTCCTGAGACAAAGAGAGAGAGAGAGAGAGAGAGAGAAAGAGAAAAAGAGAGAACAAACGAACAAAAATATGATGATATACGGATACATACGTGGGCAGAGGAAAGTACCGACGGCGTCTGCGTAATTGTACTCTCCGTCCTGGCGGAAGTAAAAATGTCAAAATGAAACAAAAAGAAACGAAATCGGAATCGCTTCCTCCTCGTTAAATCAGGCATATCTAGACAACACGAAACAACAGGCAATCAGAACGGAACGCGAATGAAGGGGGAGGGGAAACGAAATAATCGGTGGGGCTGGGGTGCTCGCTAGAAGTTCATCACGGTGGAGAAAATAGGGGGATAGAAGATAGAGGAGAGGAGTAAATCGTCGGGGAATAAATAAAACTTAGGAACACACACTGAACACGGGCCACATCGCCAAGAATTTTGGACAGATAAGGTTAATTAACACCTAACACTCACAGGCAGACCTACGGTTAGACCAACCAACTTTCTCGTCTGTAGAGCGGTTCGTGTCGAATACCTCGTGGATGTTCTTCATCGGGCTTACTCTCGGTTTATCAAGCTTTTCTCGTATCGCCGTAGGAATCTTATTATTATTATTTTTTTGAACATATCTCCTGTTTCATAATCGCAAAATCCACACACCAACTGGTGTGTGGATGCGACGGTAAGATCCACGACAAACGAATTCTCGACTCTCGATTGTCACTGTGACCTCATGCGCTACCATTGTCAAAAAATGGTGCATCCGTTGAAGATACATATATATATGTAAATATACATATATGTTTACTATCGGTATACAGTTACATGCACACGTATCTAAATTATGCAGACCGTCGCCGAAAGAACGTCGATAATCGCTATTGACTCATACGGTAATGTACATGCGCACCTATGTCGTATCAGGCCAATAAAGTTTATGCGGCTTATGGGGCCGGCGATAATCGAGAGCCGAGAGACTCGAGATGAACGTTTCAACGGCGATCGGCACGAACGCCCGGGCGTTCCTGCGATCGCGCGATCGTATATTCGACACGACCAGTTCACAATGACTATTCGTAACCAAACTCATGTTAGTTACCTAGCAGAACGGAACTTTCCAACAAAACCCGACAATAAAACAAGGTAGCATCTCATACCAAAAAACCGTTCTCAAGAACTTTGGCGAGGAATCAGCTAGTCGGTGAAACATGGATTTTCAACAATATAGTTATAGAGAACATCGTCACTAAGGTATAATACTGCAAGCATTGTCATTCTCCATCGATCAATACATACTGGCTTCTTCTCAGCTAATATCGCATCTTCTAATCTGTGATCCATGTCACACGTCGCATCGCCAGGACTACGGGACTAAGGACAAGACTGATCAAGAGCTTATTTGAAATGTTTTACGCAGTGAGAGCTATTTGACTTCCATGAAGACTACAGCTACGTTTAATCCCGCTTAATGAAATATCTAATTATTGCAACTTTCCGATTTATCTTAAGCGGAATGACGTCTTGATAATTCTGTTATCTCATCACGTGACATCAATTTGTACGTATACGATTCTTCCGCTTTGCCCGTTCGAGTTTATAGTGCTCGGATTTCAACCGCGCGACAACGAAGGAGTTTAATTACTCCGTAACTCCGTAATATACTTTTAACATTTAATCAGACATTAAGCATAGTCTTTTCTCCGCTCGATTGGACCGTCTACGGAACATGAAACTTCCCGACAACGTTAAAGCTCTTGATCGGCTCTGCTACAATTCACAAACTGGGTCTAAGTATGTCGGGTGTGTTATATGTGTGAAAAAAGAAAACAAACTTCTCGTACCGGAGACTGTAAATTACACGGCAAGACTATGCACGTTCTCTATGAAACTCAAATGGAAAAAGAAAAGGAAAAAAAAACGAGAGACAGAGATGACCACAAACGAAAACGGCAACGGTAATCAGAATAATCGTAATCAATGAGTAACAACGAAAGAAACGACAGTAGTGAGAGTAATAATAATGATCTAGCGTATATAGATATATTTATACGTAGAAACACATTGAGGTTTGTGTTAACGAACGCTTGAATCAAGTAAGGGCAATTGGCCTTGGTTTCAGGGTAACTAGGCAGGCACACCTTGCTGGTTCGGTCTGGTTGGGGCGGTGTCGCCCGACGCTCGTAGTGCCTCTCCGGCTGTTGATAAAGGGGGATCTGCAAACCCATTCGGAAACGTGTTCTCGCAGTACGCCTAGTAGTCGATTTGTACATATTGTTTTCTTTGTACTCGTGTGTGTATGTCGGGGGTGGGGGGGGGATTAAGATGCGGGATTCCTGTGTGTGTCAGTGTGCGTGTACAGGCGAGATTGTGCGGACAATCGATAGGAGAGTCGGTGTGATG